AAATGATGAACGAAGCAAAGTGCTGACTACACCGAGCATCTTCTTGTTTCCACTGATCGTAAAAAAAAGAGAGGGAGGGCGAGAGAGAGGGGGGTAGATGTTCGTCGGTGTTGGTTGACTTCTCTGACCGGCACGTAACGCGCGGGGGAGGGGAGGGGGGGTCAAGGGGACTTCTTCTCTGTTGCGCGTCTCTCGGGCCCCCCCCCCGAGCCCCCCCCCCCGAGCCCCCCCCCCCCCCGAGCCCCCCCCCCGAGCCCCCCCCCCCCCCCCCGTGGAGGCACACGGCCACCGCTCGACTGTCGCGCAGCGTCAGCGCCCCGAGCGCTCGCGCGGACGTTCATCTATAATGTGCGCTGGAGATTAACCGAACGTGACCGAATTCATAATTTATTTGGCTTAATTAATTTCTCGCCGAGCGAGAGAGATTCGCGAATTCATCGGCGGAGCGATTGGGACATTCAAAAGCAGCCCCGAACTTAATGTGTGTATTCATTATTTTGTTCAGTAACGTTGTGAATGGGTCGAGCTCGTTGGTTCAGCTCATTGACGCGGCGTAGACTCGGTTCACGGCCCCGGTCGCCTACATTTTTTCAACCGCGCTTCTCAACGTTCGCAGTCATATTGAATCAGGGGGGGGGGGGGGTGGGGGTTCGTTTCAATCCACTATGTTATTTCCTCATTAATCACGCCTCCTTTCACTTGCAAAACCCAGCGAAGGACAGTTTCTATTCAAGATTAATGAATCGTCGTGCGTTCTAGTGAACGTCGCAGACCGGCGTACATTCGTTACGTTCCCGTAGGGGCTTCCAGGCTGGGTCTTGAACTTGTTCTCCATGGCCACCCAACCCTCACCATCCCCCCCTCCATCCCTCCACACGCCCCCCAACCCTCCATGCACCCCCCTCTCCCCTGCTACCAAGGAGCATGCTCGAATCCGCTATGGATTACTCTGACAACCTTAATCCTGCAGTGATCACAGAGTAGCTCTTAAATTACCCGAAGCAGTGACGAGAGGGAGGCTTCATGATTCGCAAACATTGCCGTCTGCCGTCTGATTTATTTTTAAATTGTGGACAATAATAATAATGACGATGAAATCCGATTCACGGCTTGTTGTTGATCTACGGTGGAACAAAGGCTTTGCTAAGCTGCGGGGCTTTGTGTGACCAAATTGCACCACTCCGGTCAGTCGCATGTTGGTGAAGGCTTAGAATGGGGCGGCGGCTTTGAGGCTCACGGTCGGTTCGTATATGGCCAACGTCAGCTGCGGCCAGGCAATCGAACTCAGGCCCGCTGGGTCGGCAGTGCAGCGCCGCTAACTCATCAATGTGCCACTGCTCCACGTGGACACACGAGTGCACACAGCCATTCCTGTTCTCGCGCGTGAGGCCGGTGCGTTCAGAAGCTGAATGCCAATGATCTCCAGGTCTGCTCTCTAGGGCTTCAGGAGAGAAGGAGCTTGTGTAGTGTAGCTGCTGCTCCTCCGTTAGGGAACGCAGGCTGCACTGGGTTACTCTACAGTTCATAGTATGGCTTGCATGGGCACAATCACACTGTGGCTTGTCTTTCATGTATATTTACGTATATCTATGGGTCTCTGTGCATCTCTTTGGGTCTCTGGGTGTCTGAATACATTTTTGAAGTCGTCCATGGTTAGGGTTTCATGGCCACAGTCGCACTCCTGTGCCTTTACTTTCCCATGCATGAGGGAGGTGTGTACATCTGCCTGTTGATGTTCTGATGTGGTTCATGATCCAACCAGCAGCGTCTCTCGAGGAACGTCAAAGCCAGCAGTTGCGGCTATATTTTGGCCACTGCATTGTGGCAATAATAGAGGTTTTTGTTGGGTTAGATCGCGTAAATATAAATGTGTCGTTCACCCACCACCACCCGATACAGACAATTTGTAAGATTTGTCACGCAAAAAAACGTGCCCATTGTTACTCCTTCATTACACCGGTGTGTTAGAGAGTAAACTCGCAAAACTTAAAATTTTAGTACCGTGACGTTTTCGCTGATGATTGCAACCAGCTTTTTCAGGCGATTTGCCAGAGTTGATTTGCCACAACTCTGGCTGACGTCGTCACTAATTGGCACGTTTTGTTTACGCAACAAACCTGACTAGCGTAGCCGTGTCGAGTGGTGGCGGAGTTAACGACACACGATCTTACCCCCATAAACAAACCTTGTCATGGATAATATTGGTCGCTAAAATGCCTTACTACGAGTTAAACTGACATTGTGACGAATATAATGGCACTAAAAAAAACCCACACAAAGCGATAGACTCTGGAAGGCTGCTAATCGCGGCAATTCGTCGGATTGCAAGAGGGCGTAAAACGCCGCCTGCGGCCATTTCCCGCCGTCCCGGTTGCCGGGCACCTGGGGACAACTGCCGCGGTGTTCCGCGTTTACGTGGGCGGCGATGATGGGACATTAAGGAGCGGAAATGCGGAGAGAAGAAGCACATTACGGCGGCGAGTGGGCTACACGGGAGGCTAATGTTCACTTGGAGTCCTCAGGGGGTGAGGAGGCGGGGGGGGAGATAGCCCCCGCACCCCCCCCCCCCCCCGGGGCTGTGTGACAGACAGGTGAAACATGAACAGAGCCCTGCTGGAGCCCGGAGGGTGCTGCGCGGGATGGATGGTGCCACACCACTGCCACTGATTGCCTCAACATGTAAAATTACGAATTTGGTGAAACGGTCACTCCAAATATTCCACTGCGGCCGCGCAGTGCACGTGCGTGCGTACGTGTGAAAAGTTGGCACAGTAGGGGGCACAGGTGGTGCATCGGCCAGTCGTCTCAGTCGAGCCGTGCCACCTGGGTCTGCCCCGTGACCTCTGCCGGCGAGAGTTCGACACTTCACGTGGCCTCAATGTGCACTTAGCCTGGCACAAGCGTCGTGGTGATATCACTGCCACTCAGTGGCGAATGGCGGTTGTTGTGTGAAGAGTAGGTGCTCGCTAACAGCACTTGCCCCAAAAGCCTGTTAAGGCTATACGGGGGATCTTTGTCTTGTGTGAAGAATGCGCTGCCGTAGCCGCAATGCGGCCACCCTGACCATGGAGGAGTCGTCTGCTCGCAGCTCGTTGTTGACGGAGATTTGTTGAGACCTCTCAAACAGCCTCTTCCCACTCGCAAGCGTTCTCTCGATTCACCTCACTGGTCGCGCTTGACACTCGCGGACCCGTCAATATTTTGCCGCTTCCCAGGAGAAGGCCGCCGCAAACAAACGGGGCTGCCACCGTTCGCCATCGGCGGTGCCGCCGAGACAATCGCCCGAACGTTGCCGCCGTCGTGGGCGCGACGTGTGACCGCGCGCCGCCTCTCGCGTTGACAGCCGCTCTCCCGGGGTTGGCTTCGGCTCTGGCGTGCGGCGCTGACGGGGCACCACCGGGGCTCAGTTCTTTTGGAGCCGGTGGTCTGGATAAGGCCGAGGAGATGTTGCGCAAATGCAACGCTCGCGTCCCACCCGTGTATATTTTGTGGTCACATCTGTTTGTTTTTTTCCAACCCAGCGGCAATATTTCTGTTGCGATAGGTTTCCCATCATTCGCAGGCGAGAATCGTTGTCGTCGCCTTTGGGCAAGGGCCCAACGGGTCCCCAGAGTGTATAGGTCACAAGCCCTCTCCATACATGGGGCTCCCAGAGGCATGTGGCAGCAGTGAAACGTTGATAACTGAATTGTACTGATGAGCCCTGATGATGTTGAGTTAGCGGTTCTAAACGACACAATGGCCCCATGCGTTTCAGTTGGTTATTATTCGAGCTGGTGATCTGGATGAGGCTGATGACGCCGGGAACCTTTGCCTATTGACAAATTCACCGTGGGTGAATCTGAATCTGCGCGGAGCCGTCGCAGGGCTTTCAAACTCGGGTGTCACTTTTATTTTCTTTATTTCAAATTCCCGACGAATTCAGCTCCAAAGAAATTATTTTTGAATCAGATTTTCTGTACCGCCTTTTGCAAGAACACCGCACCGGCCAATCCATCCCATCTAAGCCACTGGCCATGCGGTATGGTGCCAAACATCCATGCCTCAAAAATTTGTTTAATATCTGTCTATTCTAGCTATGCAGGTCATTCAAAGTAAATATAACAAACAAAGACATATTTTTCCCAATGCTCTTCAACTTTTAACCGCATCACATCATGAGATGAGGTGGCCATTCAGAACTCTCGCAATAAGCAGTGCATCACGATGCGTTCGATAACGGCTCTCGTGGAAGCAGATTTCACAGAACTGCTTCTGAGATCGTTTCAAACTGACGTTTGTTATGAACACACAATCCCCCTATGGCCCCGCGAGTGGGAAATGTTTCTCGGAGGGCAGTCAAAAAAAAACCAATAACGCTTTCAATCCTCAGGACTCGGAGTGTTGCCAAACGAAGCGACAGCCCAACTTGGACTCGATGGTTTTGCGCGTGGAGCCTTTTGGCGAAAGTGGGCTGAGACGTCAGCTTGCTCGTTGTTTGCGCTCCGTGCTTGCCGTGTGTTTTCACTAAAAGCCAATTGACCCTTTCCCCGTTCCGAGATGCCTGCAAGTTGCAGAGTGGGTCACATCCATCGCTGAATCTCGTAACGCATGCACGCGGTTAGCATAAATTTGATTAAGAAAGGCGTAGCCGCGCCATTGTTTTTAAAGATATTATACTCACCACAGAGAACCGGAGCGACACGACCACACTCCATGATAGTTGGCGCCAAACTGTGCCACATACCCTCTAGCACGGCCTTTTACTTCCGATTTTATTTGGAATCGATTCCGGTCCGATGACGTAAATGTATACAATCGGAACGCAAATGGGAAGAAAAACGAATAACGTACGTGCACGTACATATATGCGAACTTCTTCCGGGCCTCCCCCAGGTCGACTCAGCCTTAAATGAGTACGTGTACGTACACGTACGTCATCGGAAGGGGAAATGGTTAAGAGCCGAACTTCCATTCTGACCGTCGTGTATTCTCATGACGCCTCCTCTCCCCGGGCCCAGGCCTCCGCCGGAGGAGATGACGCAGCAGATGCGCGACCTGCAGTTCAGCTCGCCGGCGGGGGGATGTGGACCAGTGGCGTCGACCGTGGCACCGGCAGCGAGCAGCGGCGGCGGTGGCCCGTTAAACCTGGCGCCGCAGGCGTCGCGGCGTTCCGACGGCGCCTCCCCGAGCGCCGCCAAGCGCTTGTACCGCAACCTCTCGGACAAGCTGCGCGGCGCCGGCGGCAGCGGCTCGGACGAGGCGTGCGCGGTGCACACGCGGTCCGAGCGGGAGCGCGAGAGGGACCGGCAGCAGCGCAAGTCGGCGTCGCTGGTGAGCGGAGCGGCGAGGACGGAGGCGCTGGCGCCGCCGGGAGGGTGGGGGAGGGGGGGGCGTCCGCTGCTGCTGCGGCGGCGCACAGATCCCGCTGGAACTACGGACGCGCGCTGCGCCGCACAAACCACTGCGCCTCCCGAGTTCGATTGCCACTCGGGCCCCGTGCCGGTGACGATTTTCCACACTTGTCCTGGGCCTCGCTTATGTTGACTGAGCCTCGAATGAATACCCGATGAAATGTGTACAAACATTAACACTGGGGAGACTAAGGCGGCCTGGGCATGTTGCTGGCCACCGGCCGGTGGCCCTCGTGTGCCGTGCCACGGCCTTCATAGGTGCTGCCCGTTAGCAGCACTTGCCCCTACAGCCTGGGTAGGCTATATGGGGGATCTTTGTGTTCTGGACTTCTGTGCCATGCCCGGCTTCATAGTTGGTACCCACTAACAGCACTTGCCCAAAAAGTTACATTACGAATATTCGGGAGATCTGTGCCTTCGCCTTCACGTGACCCTTTGACCCCCGTCCCCCCCCGCGGCGTGCGCCGCTAGCCGAACCTGCAGTGCGGCGAGGCGCTGCTGGCGGCCGTGGAGCAGCAGGACATGGAGGGCGTGCGCCTGCTGCTCGACCGCTTCTCTCCCGACGAGCTGGACCTGAACACGCCCAACAGCGAGGGCCTCGTTCCGCTCGACATCGCCAGCATGACCAACAACGTGCCCATGGCGCGCATGCTGCTGCGTGCCGGCGCCCGCGAGAGCCCGCACTGTGAGGCCCCCAGCGCGACGCCGCGTCGGCAACGTGCGCACGCACACACGCGCCGCTCGCACGCACCACTAGCACGCACGCGCAGAGCCGTGGCCCCGAACCGAACTCTTAGCTTGAGACATCAGTCTAACACGCAGTCCCACCGTTATGCAAATTCTTACTCTGCCCATAATCATAACTAAACAAAAAACTATAAACCAAACTAGGTTGTCATTTTTATTTTACTACATTGTGCCCAGAATATTTATTTATACTGGAGGATGTCCAGTAGGGCCTGGTCTGAACATTACAATAACAAACAACACAAAAAACACGATAGGAGTGCCAAGTATAGGGACTGTTATACAAATCACTGAAAATAATATTAAAAGATAACTAAACTATATTTTATATTTTACCAGGAAAGGCCCACTGAGCTATAGAGCTCTATTTCAGAAGCGACCTGACCACAAATGATAGCTCAATCAAGTGGCTTATCACGTGGAAATGTATAGCAGCCAAACGCTGTAAATCCAAGTTTATTCTAAAATGAGCATGGAGAAAAACTGGAGGACCCGGAGAAATATCCGCGTGACTGCGGGGAGAGAGACACCGCAAACTTCTAATATAGAGCAGGTATCAGGGTCAGGATCAAACACCACGACCTTCTGTATGCCAGGCGAGGTAGTTAACATCTCGCCCACCTTACTTGAGGCATCAGCCCCAACACGTGCTTTCACCGTTATCCCAAATCTCACTCTGCCCATAACCATAACTCTCACCATAACTCCAACCCAAACTCTGACTCTGAACCCGACCTGTGATTTTGACTCCTCCCTTCCAACACCCATAATGCATCGACATATTGAGAAACTTTTTTGCTCATCCAGCTGCCGCTCACCCTGAGAGGTTTTTGTCGCCCGAGTGCAGACAGACGGACCGACGCGCTCACGCGTCCATCCGTCTGCGCCGACAATTATCGTGCGGAATTCCCTAAGGGCTGTTTCTGAGCAGAAGCAACCGGGTAGCTACGGCGGTATTGATGATGAGCTCTGTTGCAACCTTTGACCTCGGTTTAAAAAAAAAAAAACACCACTTAAATTGTTCACTCCGCCGAAGGTTAGAAGGTTAAAAACATTCTATTCTTTAACATGTTCTTGTCGAGAGTTGGGAATAGTTTTGGAAATTAAAGGAGAATCGGACAACTGTGTGTGGAGGCGTGGAGTCTTCGGGTGGGAGGGAGGGAGGGGGAAACACCATTCGTAAACTTTCAAGTTTCTTTCGTAACAAGTACGAGTCACGTGTTATAACTCTGAATAGGCAAATCGTAGAGATCTCTAATTGGTGACTCTGCGCCCCAATGTCCCATTGCCGCTGGCCACTAGGGAGACGAAAGGCAGCCCGGGGGCCACGGTGCAGGGCCAGCCACCCCCTTCGTGGCTGCGCTCGGTAACAGCGCTCGCTCCCGACGGCCCGCTCACGGCTACGTGCGCGTGTCTGTGTGCGTGTGCAGTCGTGAGCCTGGAGAGCCGGGCGCAGCACCTGAGCGCGCTGGCGCGCGAGGCGGAGCAACGCGTCGGGGAGCTGGCGGCGCAGCTCATCAACGAGCCGGCCGGCTGCGACGCGTGCGAGCGCCAGCGCCAGCTCGCCGCCTGGGAGTGGCGCCACCGCCTCTACAAGCGCATGCAGACCGGCTTCGAACACGCGCGTCAGTATGCCTCCCCGCGCCGCGATGGGTCGCGCGGGGGACGGGGGGCGGGGGGCAGGACGGGGAACTCGTCCCGCTATGGGGGCGCGTCGCATTCGCGTCCGCGTGGCGATGCGGGAGAGCGTCCGCGTGGCGATGTGGGAGAGCGTCCGAGGTGGCGTCTCCTCTGGCTTGTGCCATCAGTGCGGAGCAGCAGCCAACCGAGCGCGCCGGAGGTTTTGTCGCGGGTGACGCGTGCTGAGCTATCGCCCTGATGCGTTACCGTGGCGATCCACCCGTGCTGAGCTATCGCCCTGATGCGTTACCGTGGCGATCCACCCGTGCTGAGCTATCGCCCTGATACGTTACCGTGGCGATACACCCGTGCTGCGCTATCACCCTGATGCGTTACCGTGGCGATCCACCCGTGTTGAGCTATCGCCCTGATGCGTTACCGTGGCGATCCACCCGTGCTGGGCTATCGCCCTGATGCGTTACCGTGGCGATCCACCCGTGCTGGGCTATCGCCCTGATGCGCTATGGCTTTGGGAATCTGCATTGAAGCTGCCATCTGTTGGCTGGGGACTATAGATTCAGCCACTTGGATGATTCCGTGAAGCTGCGACGCACTGGTTCGTCTACTTCATTACAAACTCCAGCCACCACACTTTGATTCCACACCCTGGCCAACATCAGTGACGGAGTGGTATTTGAACCGGTGCTGGGCCTTCCGTTATTCAACAAATCCATACGAACTGCCAGCGTGCTCACGTACGGTCACAAACCCCGATGGCCGGAATGACGTGGATTGGCCTTCATCTAGCAGCGGATTCACAAATGACTGCAAATATTGAGTTAATATCGTTTTCGTCATTGTTGTAATAGCGATTTTTAAGTTAGCAGCGGTAGAATTTCACACTAGAACGGGCACCCTGCTGCATTCTCGGATCGGGCCTGTGGTTCTGCGTCGTTCATGAGCGGCTGACATTCCTTGCTATTGAAAACTCAAACCACTCTCCGTGTTTTGAGGCAGCGTGGCCTTTAAAAGGTTTGTTTTTTTTCTCCAACAAAAATAACTTTGGAGGGCAACCGGCGTATCCTGCAGGCTCTCCGTTGCGCGCGCTCCAGCTCACAGCGTCTTCTCGCGCCAAACATTGCCCAGCGCCCATCATCATCCGCTTGGCTGCTCCTGAGCCAACGGTGGAGATTCCACGCTCCCCTGGGGGACGGTTCGTCTGCGCCACAACGGCTTCCCCCAAGCAGTGGCGTTTAACGTGAACAGGATTTTACGTCATTGTGTGTGTGTGTGTGTTCTTTTTTTTTAAGTCAAAAGTGACCGGCTTGCATCTGGCGATGATGCAGAGCTCGGTAGTTCGAACCTTGACCCCGGCGCCATCAAAGATTCTGGCAGTTTGTGGTCGTGATGCAGCAGCCTGGAACCTTAAATTGAGTTTTTTGCTAAAAGACGAGATGGCGGTCGGTATTGAAGCAAACGCGACAAGTGGAAGAAGAATTGTGGTTCTGGGGTATTTATCGTAGATATCTGGACAGACTAGGAATGTGAATGCAAGTGGAACTTTGTGTGGCAATGTACGTGATGCCGGGGGGTGGTGTGAGAGAGAAGTCGTCAATAGACTCTGGCCGCGATTATTGCCCTGCATTTGTGGCCGTTTTTCGTAGAAATTGGGGATTATAACAGCGATTGTTTCAGGCAGTTTCCACCAAAACAATTATCTCATGTACATTCAAACACATGTCGCTGGGGATTATGGGCCAGTGCAGCTACTAGCTTGGCTGTGATGTAAAAACTATTAATAATAGATATATTTTTTACCAGGTAAGGCCAACTAAACTATATAGCTCTTTTTCAGAAGCGACCTGGCCACAAATGGTAGCTCAACAAAGTGGTGTATCACGTGGAAATATTATAAAAACCAAATACTCTAAACGCATATTGATCCTAAACGTGGAGTGTAAACCCGTAGGAGCTGAAGAGAAATCCTCACGATCATGGGGAGAACATGTGAACTTCAAATATACAGGCATCAGGGTTCAGATTGAACCCACGACCACCTGTATACCAGGTGAGGCACTTAACATCACGCCTCCACCGCACGAATTGTCTCCACCCCCTCATGTGATTGGCTGATGGTTAATGTGCGGAAGAAGTGTCATCGACGTTACCGGCTGAATATAAATTGCGGATAAGAGTCTGGTTTTGTGCCTAAGTTGGTAAACGGTAGGATGTCCCAGCATGGTGGATGTGACTCGTAGTTGTATTCAGTTTGCACAGCGTTTTTATCGGTGGACTGCATAGACCACTAAAGAAGAGGAAGGATGTTGACTTTGTGACACTAAAAGTTCGGTATATATACGGCTGACTTATGATCCGGGTGACGTTACGAGCGAGAGAGCTGAAGTTTAACAGAGAAACTGGAAAAAATATCCTTCACGCCCCCTTTACATGATGAAGACGGCGAGAATTTGAGGGCGGCGGGATAGGGAAAGCAACTTGAGAGGTTTGCGAAGGAACTCAACGGCAGAGCGTTGTGAACGTAGTCGTGCAAAAGCAGGGCCAAGGAGCGCAGCTTGAAGGGGTGACAGGGGGGAGCAAACCAAGGTGGGCATTGGAGAGGTCGCCCCAGAGGTCAGCGACCGCTTGAAACCCCGACGGTCCATGTGGCAGGAGCAGCGGCGAGGTTTGGTGGCGCCACGGCGGCGAGATGTTAGCTCCCTCGCCTTGTGTGCAGGAGGGCGTGGGTTCGATCCCGACCATATCGCCTGTTTAGAATCAACATCACCACGTGCTCAGAGTGTTTAGCTGCTCTAAATTTCAGAGGTGGGACAAAGTCATTGTTATGCAAGTCCAAGTCGAGTCTGAAGTCATCAAATTCATGACTCGAGTCTGACTCGAGTCCAAGTCACATGACTCGAGTCCACACCTCAGAGGTGGGACAAAGTCATTGTTATGCAAGTCCAAGTCGAGTCTGAAGTCATCAAATTCATGACTCGAGTCTGACTCGAGTCCAAGTCACATGACTCGAGTCCACACCTCTGCTAAATTTCCACGTGATGATAAGCCACTTCGTTTGAGCTATCATTTGTGGTAGCCCAGACCGCTTCTAAAAAAAGAGATGTAGCATCAGTGGGCCTTACCTGGTGAAATAAAAAAAGTTGGGTTTATGATCTGGGGCGGTGACTCGGCCCAACAGTTCACCGCTCATTGCAGAAGGCCACTGTTCAGGGGATTCAACTCCCGACATGCGGTGACGTTTAATTCCCTGAGTGCCGACGTCATGGGTCCAAATTTGGCCAATTTTTATAACCACCCGCAAATTACTCTGTTGCAAAACGCACAGCAATCATGGCCCACTCACCTCCCCCCACCCCACCTACAGACCCTCGTGAGAAAAGTGGCAGGGGGCTCGGCCAGGCTTTGCTGGGCAAACAAGCGCCATAATAAATACATACAAATAACAACAACAAATTGAGTGACCGCAATCTCGCAATGTTGTGATGGCCGTGCGTGCAGGAACCCCAGACGCCCCCACGCACGTGCAGCTGTGCGTGACGGGGAGCCACACACTGGCCGTCTCGTTCCAGGAGCCGCTGCTCATCAACGCTGCCATCGTCACCAAGTACAAAGGTGAGCGGTGGTGGTGACAGTGGTGGTGGCGGTAGTGGCGGTAGTGACGGTGGTGGTGGTGGTGGCTGCAGTACTGGTGGCGGTAACGGTGATGGTGGGGGTGGTGGTGACGGTGGTGGTGGCGGTGATGGTGGTGGCGGCGGCTGCGGTGGTGGTGGCGGCGGCTGCGGTGGTGGGGGTGGCGGTAACTGTGATGGTGGGGGTGGTGGTGGTGGCGGTGGTGTTGGTGGCGGTGATGGTGGTGGCGGTGGCTGCGGTGGTGGTGGTAACGGTGATGGTGGGGGTGGTGGTGGCGATGGTGGCTTTGGTCGTGGCGGTAGCGGTAGTGGTAGTTGTAGCACCATTGCGAGAGCGCAGGCTCCTCAAGCACGGTCCCAAGAGCGGCGCTTCGCAACCGGCGTGGCGGAGATCCAGCTGGTGTCCCCCGTGATGTTTTCATAAAATGAGAGTGGAGGATAGAACCTCGCCGTTTACCAGCTGGGACAGACGGAACTCTCCTCCTCCTCCGCGCCGTTTAGCGGCCGATCCAGCCCCACCACCCCCCCACCTACCACCTCCCGCCCTCCCCCTCTTCTCCACATCGGTCGTGGCGCCGTACGGCAGACGGCCGTTAGCCACCGCCGCTGGCCCTCGCAGCTGCCTCGGTCGCGCGGGTGCAGCGGGGATGTTTTGGTTCTCTGTGTCGTGAAGATCGAGAAAGCTCGAGGGTGAGTGCTGTGTGAACACCGCCGGCTGAGAAGCACCGGGTTAGAAGATCACACGCCGTGCGTGCGTGCGCACTCGTTTTGGCGGAGTTGACCCTGCAGGGGCCTGCCGCACCTCAAATATTGGAAGAAGTAGCCAATATAGCTCAGTGGGCCTTGCCTGGTAATATACAAAAAAACATCGTTTTTAGTTGAGTGTGCCGGCATCAGGATTCGCGTTTGCAATGATACCGCAAATGACTCGATTGGGATTGTACACGGAGCAGCGCTCATCGTCCCCTTTCTGGCAGAACAATGCCCCAGGTCACCCTTGCAAATGCGTTCTCTCCGAGCTAAACAAAGTCAGCTTGAAACTCAAAGGCCCCAGGTCTTCTCTTCGCCGTCCATTCCCAATTTGAGACAACGACAAGGAAGAATGTTGGAAACTTCCTTCATTTGGAGCAAGAAACAAAATAGCCCCAATAAAACTACCGGGGCTTTTAGATTATATCATAAACAATTGTCCCTAGCTTCCAGGCACTGCACAGCTGCTGGAAATTATAGCCTAACGAAGTCTCATCGCTCTCCTGAACATTTGTTCTCATTGATTTTTTTCTCTCGTTTTTGTCAAACCCATTTAGAATCGCACGAGCTGCAAACACGCACACGCACGCTTTGTTTGCACCGGTTTTTATCCACATGTTACCTCTAGCGACCCACACGTTGCTGCGGACGCGGTCACGTGAAACCCACTCGTGCATTGGCGGGCAACGTCGATCGCTTGCTGGAATTGAATTGGGAGTGGCAGTGATAAAGAGATAAAGAGACGTGTCTTGAGATGGTGATGGGTTTGGAGAGTCCTTCGTCCGGCAGTTGAGGGATCATGTCAGATGGTGATAAGAGGCAGGGGTGAAGGAGGTGCCTCATGGCATGCCCCTCCGTTTCCAATCAACATAATCATCATGAATATCGTATCCATTGTAATGATTGACATCATCGTATGCATCCCAACTATAAATACAAAAAATTCATGACAATCGACATTAAAACTATTCATCGTCACCCTCATGTATTCACCTCATTGTGGTCACCATCACCAACATCACCTTCCCGCTATAAGCGGGCCACACAATTGTCCTGGTGCTCACTTGGCCCACTTAATGCTGCCGTGGGAATTTGGGCCCAGCCCGTGAACAGGGCCAGCTCGGTTTGAGGTTGGTCGCGAGAACGTGTAGTTATTCTCAGCTTACGGAGTTTACATGACAACCCTTACTCATTGGCTGTGTCGGGTGATGGCGGGTTTAACGACACATTTATATTTACGCGATCTACCCCAAAAAACCTCTTATGGATGAAGATGGTCACTGCATCATGTGCTTTTAGATGTGCTTCTGTCTATCCCTTAGAGATGAACGAGGCCAAACGGACTGAGAACCTGACTTTCATTCAACGGTGTTTAGGGGAGCATGTGTGAAGGGGAGTAGAGCGAGGTGAGAGGGGAGACTACGGTAGGCAGGGGCGAGGGGCATGAACCACCGTCACACGAACTCCGGTAGACCACACAGCAACGGCTTTTGGCTAACCATCAAACAAAGACGGTCGCCGCATCGTGCGAATTTCAGATGCGCTTCTGCGGCCGTCTGGAACGCTCTTCCTTCTGACATTCGGAAGCCACTGGGAGCTATGCACTTGTAAACCATCTAGATAGAAAACTAACTTCTTTACAACTGCGTTTTGTCCTTCCCCCGCACCTCCAATTAGTGTGGTTGGCTACGCACAGTGCAAAAGAAAGTCAACATACATATACAGTGAGGGAAAAAAGTATTTGATCCCCTGGTGATTTTGTACGTTTGCCCACTGACAAAGAAATTATCAGTCTATAATTTAAATGGTAGGTTTATTTGAACAGTGAGAGACAGAATAACAACAAAATCCAGAAAAACGCATGTCAAAAATGTCATAAATTGATTTGCATTTTAATGAGGGAAATAAGTATTTGACCCCTCTGCAAAAACATGACTTAGTACTTGGTGGCAAAACCCTTGTTGGCAATCAGAGAGGTCAGACGTTTCTTGTAGTTGGCCACCAGGTTTGCACACATCTCAGGAGGGATTTTGTCCCATTCCTCTTTGCAGATCTTCTCCAAGTCATTAAGGTTTCGAGGCTGACATTTGGCAACTCGAACCTTCAGCTCCCTCCACAGATTTTCTATGGGATTAAGGTCTGGAAACTGGCTAGGCCACTCCAGGACCTTAATGTTCTTCTTCTTGAGCCACTCCTTTGTTGCCTTGGCCGTGTGTTTTGGGTCATTGTCATGCCGGAATACCCATCCACGACCCATTTTCAATGCCCTGGCTGAGGGAAGGAGGTTCTCACCCAAGATTTGATGGTACATGGCCCCGTCCATCGTCCCTTTGATTCGGTGAAGTTGTCCTGTCCCCTTATCAGAAAAACACCCCCAAAGCATAATGTTTCCTACCTCCATGTTTGACGGTGGAGATGGTGTTCTTGGGGTCATAGGCAGCATTCCTCCTCATCCAAACACGGCGAGTTGAGTTGATGCCAAAGAGCTCCATTTTGGTCTCATCTGACCACAACACTTTCACCCAGTTGCCCTCTGAATCATTCAGATGTTCATTGGCAAACTTCAGACGGGCATGTATATGTGCTTTCTTGAGCAGTGGGACCTTGCAGGCGCTGCAGGATTTCAGTCCTTCATGGCGTAGTGTGTTACCAACTGTTTTCTTGGTGACTATGGTCTCAGCTGCCTTGAGATCATTGGCAAGATTCCCCCGTGTAGTTCTGGGATGATTCCTCACCGTTCTCATGATCATTGCAACTCCACGAGGTGAGATCTTGCATGGAGCCCCAGGCCGAGGGAGATTGACAGTTCTTTTGTGTTTCTTCCATTTGCGAATAATCGCACCAACTGTTGTCACCTTCTCACCAAGCTGCTTGGCGATGGTCTTGTAGCCCATTCCAGCCTTGTGTAGGTCTACAATCTTGTCCCTGACATCCTTGGAGAGCTCTTTGGTCTTGGCCATGGTGGAGAGTTTGGAATCGGATTGATTGATTGCTTCTGTGAACAGGTGTCTTTTATACGGGTAGCAAGCTGAGATTAGGAGCACTCCCTTTAAGAGTGTGCTCCTAATCTCAGCTCGTTACCTGTATAAAAGACACCTGGGAGCCAGAAATCTTTCTGATTGAGAGGGGGTCAAATACTTATTTCCCTCATTAAAATGCAAATAAATTTATAACATTTTTAACATGCGTTTTTCTGGATTGTGTTGTTGTTATTCTGTTTCTCACTGTTCAAATAAACCTACCATTAAAATTATAGACTGATCATTTCTTTGTCAGTGGGCAAACGTACAAAATCAGCAGGGGATCAAATACTTTTTTCCCTCACTGTAGAGGGGTCGGAACATCAATACCCCAAACGCCCTGCTTCACTGATAATAAACTGGGCTGCCAACCGCATCAGGGCCCTGTGTTGCTCACTAGACATGGATTTCAGTCACACATAATTAAGGGTTTCCTTGTGGGGCACGGAGAAGCCTTCGCAGATTAAAGATGAGATAAGTTTCTAGTGCGTGTGAGGCAGAAATCGTAATGCCTCAGCGGTTCGCTTCTCTGTCAGTTCTTTGCCGTGCGGACGGCTCAGCCACCAATGCTTCCTCAGCTTTCCTGCCTGACATGCCACGGACGAGCACTCGGCCAAATCTAGGGCGATCGCCGTTTCCGATTTTGCCATTGAGCAAGCCAAGACGTTTAGAGCGGCTGCAGGAGACATTTCTCTTAGTCCCGCTGTCATCAAGATGAGGCCCTCTGTGCGTGTACTTGTGACCCGGCCATTCAGTGTTTTTTGTGGCTGACGACGACGACGACAAGGATTGAATATCTGGAAAGTTGTCTTTTTAAATCCTTTATATTAAGTTCACTTGCTTGCTTGCTTGCACGCTTACGACCGTGCAAATCTTTCGGTCGTTTTTTAACCCACTTCCCGTGATCCAATCGAGCTGAAACTTTGCACACAGACTCGTTGTGCGTGACAATTAATTTTCGTGAAATTTTTTCCAAAATTTTCCACTTTTTAGGAAAACAAATTTCATATTTAATTTAAAATACCAATGTGATAAAAATGAAACTCTTACTCAAGAAAAACAGAAATGAATAATAAAATAAAACCGATGGCCACGCATATAAAGGATTTATAGTGAAAAAGCTTTGTTTTTACGGGTAAATTTTTGTTTTCCGTACTGCATTAAAACCCAGATCTCCATTTAAGAGGCTGTTCCTGCCCTCGCCGGGCCCTGTCACGACG